AGTGCTGAGGGAGTGGGCACTGTCGGAGGGTCAGTGCTGAGGGAGCGCCGCACTGTCGGAGGGTCAGCGCTGAGGGAGTGCCACACTGTCGGAGGGTCAGTGCTGTGGGAGTGGGCACTGTCATTGGTGCTAAATGTATTGTTGTACCTTGATTTAAAGTGATTGGTTAATAAGTTTCTCTGCTGGCGGTGTGGTTCAGAAGGTGAAGTTTATTAGTTTAGTGATAATTACGATGGAGTTAGCTGATAGGCACAGGTCCTTCAGATTGGAACAAAGGTAGGAGGATGTTATGATCACTGTTCCCACACCCTGCCTGAGCTCGCAGAGAGAAAGGGAAGATTAATTGTTTAAATAACAGCTCACTTTGTTTGTTATTCTAACCAGAAGGGGTGAGTACACTGTTGGTAAATGTGAGGCTGTTCATTCTGGTCAGAATCACGGCAAAATGGACTATTATTTAAGCCATAAAAAAGTTGCAGCGTGCCGCTGTGCAGACAGACCTGGCTGTCCTTGTGCAGGAAACACAAAATGTTGGTTTGCAGGTGCAGCAGGTCTTTAAGGAGGCAAATGGAATATTGTCCTTTATTGCCAGAGGGATGGAGTTTAAAAACAGGGAGGTTATGCTGCAGCTGTATATGGAGCTGGTGAGGCCAGACCTGGAGTCACTGTGTACAGTTTTGGTCTCCTTACTGAGAAAGGATGGATTGGCACTGGAGGGGGTGCAGAGGAGGTTCACCAGGTTGGTTCCAGAGTTGAGAGGGTTGGTTTATGAGGAGAGATTGAGTAGACTGGGACTATACTGATTGGAATTTGGAAGAAAGAGGGGACATCTTACACAAACCTGTAAAATTACGAAGAGGATTGATATGATAGAAGCAGGGGTGTTTGTTCCCACTGATGGGTGAAACTAGAACAAGGGGGCATAGCCTCAAAATAAGGGGGCGCAGATTTAGGACTGAGCTGAGGAGGAACATCGTCACCCAAAGGGTTGGGAATCTGTGGAATTCCCTGCCCAGTGAAGCAGTTGGGGTTAGAGGCTACTTTGTTGAATGTTTTTAAAGCAAAGGTAGATTTTTGAACAGTTAAAGGGATTAACGGTTGATGGTGAGTGGGCGGGTAGGTGGAGCTGAGTCTATGAAAGGATCAGCCACGATCTTATGGAATGATGGAGCAGGCTGGAGGGGACTGATGGCCCGCTCCTGATCCTGGTTCTTATGTTCTTAGTCATGGGGGGGACAATGTAGAGGAAGCTTTCCCCTCTATCTAACCCTGTGCTGTCCCCTGTCCTGGGGGTGTTGGATTGGGGGGGGGGGGGGGGGGGAAGGGGGGGGCGGTGTAGAGGGAGCTTTCCCCTGTATCTAACCCCGTGCTGTCCCTGTCCCTGGGAGTGTTTGATGGGTGACAGTGTAGAGAGAGTTTTACTCTGTATCTAACCCCATGCTGTCCCTGTCCTGGGAGAGTTTGATGGGGGGGACAGCATAGAGGGAGCTTTACTCTGTATCTAACCCCATGCTGTCCCTGCCCTGGGAGTGTTTGATGGGGGGACAGTGTAGAGCGAGCTTTACTCTGTATCTAACCCTGTGCTGTCCCTGCCCTGGGAGTGTTTGATGGGGGGACAGTGTAGAGGGAGCTTTACCCTGTATCTAACCCCGTGCTGTCCCTGTC